TCAGGCAAAGAGACTACAAGGCAAAAGCATTACAATATTAATGCATGTCACTACATTTTGCTCAAATATTCAACTCACCTGAAATATGTAGCAATTCAAAATTCATCTGCACTTAATAACCTAAGTTAAAAATACATAAAGCAATAGTTGAAGGAAGTATAAGGATAAACTGAGAAAGAGCCATCAGGCCTCTACTCAGGGCATCATGTGAGGCAGGCTTGGCTCCCTGGCAATGAGGAGAACTGTCAACATCTCCATGGCACCTCGGGGCGCCTGAGTGGCTCCATCGGCTGAGCGTCTGACTCTTGATTTTGGCTTGGGTCATGATCTCGGGGTCCTGGGATCAAGCCCCGCATCAGACTCCAAGCTGAGGGTGTAGCCTGCTGGGGAGTCTCTCTCTCCCCCACCCCCCTACTCGTGCACACGCACACACACACACACACACACACACACACACACACACACGGGTGCGTGTGCGCACACTCTCTCTCTCTCTCTCCCTCTAAAAAACATGTTTTAAAAATCTCCATGGGGCCTGGAGACGAGATCTGGAGATGAGGTTTTTATATTTATCACAAAAAGCCAGATAGGGTTGAAAAATACCCCAAACCTCTCTTAAAGCAAAACTTTAATCCTGTCACTGCCCGGCCTACAAGTAGCCCTCCAATGGCTCCCCAGCGCCCTCTTGAGAAAGTTCACTTTCCAGGCCAATCTCTAGCCACTGGTCACAACTGCCCTCAACCAACCAAAGCGGGTTATTTGTTGCTTCCCAAACACTTCACACTTCCTGTCTTGCCCACCTGAGGAGACAGGGATGGAGGCAGGGTAGAGAACATGGCTGCCATGTGCCGTGTGCCACCAAGTGGCTGGCAGGAAGGGCTGAGTCCTGCCTGGTCCCCTCATCTCCTGAACAAGCTTTGCTTCACTCCTGGGTTCCACTCCTTCACACCGCCCCCACCCACTTAGCCCACGACAAGTGATCTCCGTCTTTCCAGTCCCGCCTCAGCTGCCTGGGCACAGGCTCTCTCCATCTCTTGCCTTGCCTCCCACGTGGCCCCCCAGACATGTGTCCCTGCCACCAGTCCTGCCCCATCTCTCACACTGAACTCCAGAGGGGGTCTTTCCAGGGCTCAGATCGCACGCTCTACCTCTGGCACTGTGGAAAGACCTCCAGGTTCCCATTTCCCAGGGACTGTAAAGAAATGGAGCCGAGGCCCAGGGCTCCCCCTTCTTCCTCACACTGACGGCATGCGTTCACACAGAGAAGGCGTGAAGAACCCCCCGTCTTTTCCTCAAGCCCCCACGCACCCCCATGTTCCCAGTGAGCCCTCCTCGTTTGCACAGAGGCAGTCAGGGGGTGAAGCAGAAGGCTGTGTGGCCTTGGCTCAGTCGCTTGGTCTCTCTGTGCCTCAGATTCCACATGTGTAAAATAGAGATGATAAGGAGAGGTTCGAGTTAATACATATGAGGCTCTCTGCGACATTGCCTGGCACACGGCAGTGCTCAATGTAAAGCTAGATCCACATCTGCAAAGAAAGATGAAATATAGTCTCTTTTGCTCTATTTTGGTGCCCCTTCAGGCACCTCAAACTCACCATGTCCAAAACCGACCTTGTCTCTTCCCCAAACACACCCCATTGAACCCTTCTTGGTAGATGGTCCCCACCTGATCACTGACTCCTACAGAGTTCCCAGGACCAGCCCCACCCCACCTCACCCAGTCTCCCCATCCCCAGCGTGGACCCACAGCTTGAGCATCTCCAGAAACCCTGTCACCTGCAGGTTCGCTCCAAGACAGAGTGTGTGACCCACCCTGTGTGGTCCGGAACCAGGACAACAGCTTCCTCTCATTTCTGGAATGTTCCCTGACAGCTGGGAAGAGGCCAGCCCACTGGACCCTGCTCCCAACTCACAGTGCCCAACTTTTCCAGCTGCCCAAGCTCAGCACCTGCTACCCCTCCCAGTGGCTCACCACTGCTCACAGACAAAGGTCCAGCTCTTACCCGGCCAGGCCCGAGTACCTGTTGTTCCCTAAGCCTGACATGCTCTCACAGAGGCCCCCCCGGCCCAAGCTCCCTCTCCATCCCCCCCACCCCCGGCTCTTGCCTCTGGCTGCACGAGTCTCTCTCCCAGACAGCAAGACCTACGTCCTAGGCACCGAGGCGACCCAGAGATTTTCTCTCACGAACTGCCCCCCCCCCCCCGGTGGGAAGGGCTCGGATGGATGAAGGATGCCGGCCCTGTCTGCCCTGGAGGTCCCCCTATCTCCGGGCTCCCAGATGGAAAGGGCAGGACTTTCTCCCCCAAGTGAGGACTTCACCAGGGCCCGATTTCGGAGGCGGGGAGCAGTGGGGAGGAGGGCAGTGGGGGAGAGGAATAGTTTTGAGCAGCTGCCCCAGGTGGTGAAGAACTGGGAGGCTTGATGGATGTTTTTAGATGTGGTCGTGGCGCCGCCTGCCGGTCGGAGGCCAAATTGCACCCCGTGTCGGGGCAGGCGGAGCTTCAGCCCCCGCGACGCAACGGTCAGGCCTCCCTGAGCAGGCAGCACGCTACCCTCCCCACGCAGGTCATTCCGGTCATCCGAGTAAGCTCACCCCCTCCCTTACAGGGCCTCCTTCCCCAGGGCAGGCACCTTGCGTGCTGGGCCCAACGGCTGGCACAAAGTAGAGGCCCAATAGATATTTGATGGACAAAACAAGAACAAGTAGGTGCCGTGAGAGCCCAGGGTGAAGACGTCAGAGGGGTCAGGACAGGAGATGACAAGGGCCCAAGTGGGAACTAAGGAGAGGCCAAACAGGTCATTGGAGGTGGGGAGACCAAGCTGTTGAGGCCTGGCCATGGCACTGGCTGCCCGAGGTCCCCTGGACTGTGGGCAAAGGACAGCAGGCATGGTAGGACTGGACTGTGTGACCCAAAAGCCTGGAGCGAAGAATGACCTAGAAGTGGCCATGGGGACAGAAGAGGAAGCCGCCCACCACCCTCCAGACTTGCCCTGGGCTCCGGGGCCCATGGGGGGTGGGGGCAATATGGAGCAGGAAGCGGGTGGGAGGAAGCTAGGAGAAGGAAGCTACAGAGGGGTTTGTGTGCCTGGGAATGAGCAGGCGGGCATGCCCACCCCGGGATGTGCCCATTCCCAGCTGGGCGCAGCTGTTCTTCTCAGTGGAAGCCAGGCCCCCTGGGTCCAACCCCAAACACTGCCACCGGCCTCACCTGCACCCTGCCCGCCCACCGCCCAGTGCCCACTGAGACCCTGACCAGCCCTGCTTGGGCCTCACTGCCTCCCTTCTGGGTCCTAAATGTCAAGGAGAAGGGTCTCCTCCATCATGCTCTGCAGTGGGGGCTGGCAGGGAGCAGGAGTCAGCGGGGAGGAAGGGGTGGCCAGCTTGCCCAGAACTCTGAGGGTGCTTCCTCTGCTCTGGTTAGGGCCAGGAGAGGCTTGGGGTCCCAGAAGGCAGGACTCTGGAGCCCCGGCCCACCCAGAATGGGGTTGCCAGGGGCAGGGGCCACACAGATCAGAGGACTGGCCACCAGTCTTCACACCGGAAGCCGTCACCAACCCAGCCTGGATGTCGCATGGCAGCATCCCGGGAGCATCATGCCCTCCCTCCCCCACCCTGGAGCGCACGGGCTCCAAAGCCACAGGGCAGGACCGCTGTTGAGCCCCCGAGGGCGCCCTCTCCTGGCTAAGGAGCTCCTCCTCCACCTTCTGACACTGTGGTACCTTCTGCACAAGAAGGTGCCCACTGGAAATGCTCTCTGTCGGGCCAGGGCTGTGGAAGGGTGGGGGAAGGAAGGGAGAGGTTGGAGGAGACAGCCCAGGGCTCTGGTCACTGGGCCTCCACTTGCCTGTGAGCCCTTCCCAGCCCGTCCCTGCAGCCCACCCCCAGGGGACCGGAGACGGCGCTCCTCGGACCCCGGTTCGGCCTCCCGCCACCCCCCCTCGGCTGGCAGCCCACAAGGCCTGAGGTGCCTCCATTTTCTCCCAAGGAGCCACAGCCACATGCAGGCTGACCTCTAGGCTGGCAGAACTGGCCGGCCAGGCTGCCTCCTGCTGGCACTTGGGGGGACAGGGACAGGAAATTCTTGAACAGCTGGGAGCTTGCCTGCCATGACGGGAGGGAACAGACGTTCAGGTGGCAGTGGGTGAGGTCGCATGGTGGGGTCCTGGGGGCAGTGGGCCTGCCTCCTTCGTTTCCTTCCCACAGGTGACATCCATCCCCTCCACACTCATCCCCCATCCCCATCCCTCACCCCTCCCTCCAGCTCACCATGGGCCCATTGCTCTGTCTGTCTTTATTGATTTGAGGAAAACTAGAGGGGGGCTGGAGGGCCATGACACAAAGCGGGACCACCGCAGTCAGCAAAGCACAGAACGGCGTGCAGGAAGAGCTGCCCCTGGAAGCCTCTTTGGCTCCTAGAGGGGGTGTGGTGGTGACAGGGGAGGGAGGCCCTGTGGACACACCCCGCCAGCCCCTAGGCAAGGGCAGAGCCTGGGTGGCAGATGGGTGAGTCCCACTCCTGCCCCAGTGCCATGCACCACACCCACACATCTCCAACTTTCCAGCGAGGCCAGCCCGGGGTCCTGGGGGTGGGGAAAGGGGACTGAAAGGGCCCACCCATGGGAAGGGAATCCAGGAGCCAATGCACTCAGCCACAGCATCTGCCTGGAGGGAGAGGGACAGAGAAGCGCAGAGAAGGAGGTCATCAGGAGAGGCCCCCAGCCTGCCCTGTACCCCCTGCTCCCGGTCAAGGCTCTCAGCAGCAGTACCCACTGGGTCTCGGCACCAGGCGCCTCACGGATCTTCATGGTCCCCTCAGTCACCAGCCCCCACTGGCCTCTATTGTCTGCTTCTGTGGGAACCCCAGCTCCTGCCCTCAGCTCTCTGCTCTGTGGGGTCCGGCCCACTTAGTTCTTGGCCACACAGAGCCCGCCCCCTTCTAAGGGCACTCAGGAGTCAGCTCCCAGTGGGCTGCAGGGCCCGCACTCGCACACCTGGGCATCACCACTTGGGGGGCTGGCCGGACTGGAGGCCAGGGTGGCTGTGGCGGGCCATCCTCCTCTCCGAGGCCTCCTCACCCTCTGGGCTCTGCCCCAGCTTGCGGATGTGGCGCAGGAAGGAGGTGGCATTGAACGCTCGCTGTGGGGAGAGAGGGTTGTCAGGCCATGCCCCGGCCATGGCCCCCAGACTTTGAGGACCAAAGAGGCCACTGGCAGCCCAGGCCATCCCTCTGAGGGGCGGGGGGGGGGGGCAGCCTCAAGCCAGGTCCACAGGCCCCTCCCCACACTGACCTTCCAGTGGGTCCGGGCAAAATTCTTCTGGATCTGCTCACTAACTGAGCCCAGGATGTCCTTGTCAAAGGCCGCATCCCCAGAGATCCTAGGGGGAGGCCAAGGATCAGGGGGGGGGGGGGGGGAGTCTCTGAGGGTGTGGTCCCTCTGGTCCCAGGACAGGTCAGCACGGGTCCCACTCACCAAAGATGCTGTAAAGCCTGCTGGCAGGTGAACCTCTTCTGGGGGTCTCGCTCCAGAAGGTGCCGGATGAAGTCTTTGGCTGGAGTTGGGATGCCAGGTCAGCCCACCGCATCCCCACTCCCCTCGTCACTCCCCCCTCCCTGAGCTCGGGGCCAGCTTCAAGTTCACCTGATTCTGAGATGTCATCCCAAAAGGGAGAGTCAAACTCGTAGCTGGCCCTCAGGATCTGGCTGAAGAGTTCAGGATCGCTCTCGTCGTAGAAAGGGGGGTACCCACACAGCCTGGCACCCACACATGAATCACCCAGCTGCCCAGCCCTCCCCAACCCAGCAGAAAGCAGGCAGGCAGAAGAGGAGCCTTCCCAGGGGTCACTCACAAGATGTAGGAGATGACACCCAGGGCCCACACATCCACAGCCTTCCCGTAGGGTTTCTGCTCCAAGAGCTCCGGGGCTGGGGGCCAGAGACAGACGGACACACACCCGCACGCACACGCACCATGCCTTCAGTGCCGCCAGGCTCGGCCTAGTTAACCCCAGGAATGACCCACCACCTATCCTGCCTCCGGTACGTGGCTCCCGCGGTGTCCCCCAGCCCCGCCCCCCGCCAGCCCCCAGCGAGCCTCAGGGTGCCTCCCCTCACTGACCCACGTATCCGGGGGTCCCACAGGCGGTGCCTAGCATGTTGCCAGCCTGGATTTTGGAGAGGCCAAAGTCGGAGACCATGATTTTGGAGTCCTCAAAGGGCGTGGCATAGAGGAGGTTTTCAGGCTATGACACACGGGCACCAGAAAAAGTGCCAGGTCAGCCCTGGGATGGCCCCTGGTCCTGGGCACCCTCAAGTCCCCCAGACCCTTGGTGCACAGGGATGCCGGGCAAGGCCCAGGCGGGCAGGCAGGAGGGCAGGCACCTTGAGGTCTCGGTGCACGATGCCCAAGCTGTGCAGGTAGGAGACAGCACCGAGGACCTGGCCCACTAGGTGGCTGGCATCCTTCTCTGTGTAGGAGCCACGCTCCATGATGCGGTCGAACAGCTCGCCCCCTGTCACCCTAGGGGGAGTGGGGACTCAGCTAATTCAGCCCCATCGGCCCCCCACTCACCACCCAGCCCCAGCCACCCGAGCCTGCCCCTGCCCTCCTCACAGCTCCATGGCCAGGTAGAGGTGGGAAGGGCTCTCATGGACGTCCTCCAGAGCCACGATGTTGGGGTGGCTGACCCTGCAAGGGCAAGAAAAAGGCCCTTATGGGCCACCACAGCCCCCTCTAGGCCTCTCAGGGTCTAGGAGGGCTTTGTCCTGCCCCCCCAATGCCCCCCCCCCACCGGGGAAGCCTTCCTCTTCTCTTCCTCCCTCCTCTGCTCCCCTTCCCTACCACAGGCCACCCAGGCCAGGTCCAGCAAGGCAGAGCCCCAGGCCAGGAGTTCCTGGGGCTGCAGAAAAGGCAGGGCGCTTTCCCCCCCGGACCGCTCCTCCACTGCAGGCCTTGAGCCACGGGCAGCCTGGCCAGGGGCTGGCATGTACCTGCGGAGCACTGCGATCTCGTTCTCCACCAGGGCCTCCTTGCCTCGAAGGGCCTTCTTGGGGATGCACTTGAGGGCGACAAGGTGTGAGGAGCCCCGCTCCTGGGCCAGCACCACCTCAGAGAAGGCGCCCCTGAGGCAGAGATGGGGAGGCCGGGAGGGGGAAAGGCAAAGGGGAGGAAAGGAGGGGGAGGGGTGGGGAAGCAGAAGATGGGGAGGTCCTCCCGGTCCCATGGCCCCCCACGTCCCCCCCACACTCACTCATTCACTGACATACGCACACACAGCACATTCATTGACACACATTCGCCGACACACACACACTCACGAGCCGAGCTTCTCCCGGATCTCATAGACGCTGCTGATGTCTTCCGTCTGTTTCTTGAGCAGCAGCATGTCTGTGGGGGTCGGGGAGAGATGGAGGGGGGCCCCCTGGGCGAAGCCACCCTCAGTGGCAGCCCTGCTGAGAAACACAGAAACCAGCCCCAGCCCGGATCCATCTCTCCCCTCCCCCACCGCCCAGGTCCGCACTCCCGGGTGGGCGACTCAGAGCGAGGCCACCGCATACACTCCTCCCCGCCCAGATACGAGGCCTTGATCTGGTGCCCCCCACCCTGGCACCCCGACGGCGATCAGCACCCAGACACCCCCTCTCTGCCTCCACACAACCGAGTCAGCCACGATCGGCCGCCTTCCAGAAGGCTCCGTGCACCCCCACCCCGTCCCCTCCGGGCCGACCCCCATCCACAGCGCCCACAGACGCGCCCCCCCCCCAACGCGCCCGGTCCTAGACCTGCCACCCACGGCCCAGCGCTCACAGGCACGCGCCACTCAGGCCACCAACCCTCCCGAGATGCACCTGCGACCCCCGCGCCCAGCCGCCTGCCACGGCCACGGCCACCCACGCGGCCGCCCGAGTGCAGCCCGGCCCCGGGAGCCTCCGGGCAGGAGGGACTCGGCAGCCTCGGTCTCCCACGTCCCGAGCTGCGTGGGCCGCGCCAGGCTTGACAGGTGTGCGCGGGGGGCGCGCGGGGGCTGCGGCGGCCGTGGCCCGGAATCCCACGCGCCCCAGCCCGCGCGCGCCCGCGCCCGGGAGCGCCGGGTGCGGACCTGGAGCCGAAACTGCAGCGTCGCCTCGCGCAGTGGCCGCTGCGCTGAGCCCCCCGCCCGCGCCCCGCCGGACCCGCCCCCTCCGCGCGCGCCCCCGCCGGCCGCTGGCGACGGAGCATGCGGTGGCCTAGCGCTGCCTCGGCGCTGCAGGGCGCCTTGTAAGGCAATCGGCCGGTGCTGGCCGCCACCGCCTCCCTCCTCGGTCATTCATGCCAGTTCCCGCCGTCTCCAGGCCCTAGGCGGGCTGACTGGGTCGGCCCCAGGGCCTTTGCACCAGCGGTGTTCTCTATCCGGAAGTCTCTTCACCCACATGTTAACATGGCTCTCTGCGTGCCTTCAAATCTCTTCCCTAGCCCCAGCCCTGCCAACCCCACTTCTGTCACCCTGGCTTGAGCACCACCCCCCATCAGCACTCAAATGGAGGACAGCAACAGCCTCCCCACCGGGCTCCTTCTGCCCTCTAACCCCACCCTTCACCCCTCCTACCCACGGTCTCTTCCCCACTGAGCAGCCAGAGCATTTCCTATATTGAGATCATTTCACCCAGCCTCCAGACCCTCCCACAGCTCTCCATGTCACCAGGAGTCGAAGCACAAGTCCTTACAGTGGCCTAAGGGCTCTGCGTGATTGGCCCTCCTTCCCTATCATTGCCCTGGCCCCTTTTCACCCACTTTCCCCCTTGCTCAACTAGCTCTAACCAACTCCAACCACCTGGCTACCTAACTGGCCCTCAAACACACGACACATACACCTGCCCCAGGGCCTTTGCATTCACTGCCTCTCTGCCTGGAATGCTCTTCACTCAGATATCTGCTTGGCTTGCTCCCTCAGTCAAGTCTCAGCTCAAATTTCACCTCTCAAACAGGCCTGCCCTGCCGTCCCAGCCCAGTCTCTAGTGCATCACCCTGCCTGCCCTGTCTTCAGAAGATCCATCATTGCAATATCACCTTCTCTGTCTTGTCTTCCTCATCAATGCATCCACTCCCAGAAAGTGTCTCTGCTGACCCAGCTCAGGGAAATGAGTGGCAGGTGACTGAATTCAATCCTTCATCGCAACAGTGAGTGGATTCTTCCCATCCAGTCCCATCTCAGTCCTGGCACTCCTCCTAGGGGGTCTGGGCCCCACCAGGGATGGGGGAACAGGTGTCCTGGCTGCTGACAGGCACACATCCATACAGGGCCCAGGGATGGCCTGCGGAAGCTACCTCTGCAGGGGTCTGTAGGCCCTGGCATGACACAAAGTCTTTTAAGAAGGTCCACAGGGCAGACAGAGGTTTTTCAAAATCATCTTTGCAGAACTCAGCTCCCACACGTCTCTGTCCAAAACCTGGTAAGTCTGCGAGGGCCCCTCCAGTTCCTGTTCCCACCCCCCTTTCCCAATCATCCCCCCCCCAGTTCACTCAAGAAGCTTCCAGGGGCCCCAGCACTCGGCAGCTTGCTAATCTCTTTGAATAGGGTTTCCTAGGACCGGAACCGATGGTGAGGCCCACCTCACGTTGACCAGAAGGCCTCTTTTGTTTGCGGACACCTGGACTAGCTGACACAAACAGGAGCCCCGTCTTACTTGCTTGTCTAATAATTATGCATCAACATGTCTAACCCACTGCCAGAAGAAGTATCGTCAGAGCCCTGTGGTCGCAGGTGATAATAAGAAATGTCATTTAAATACGTCTGTACTTCAGAGAAGTGCAGAGTCCGAGTAATGAAAGCCTGCCCACCTGGAGAAAGACGGCACCAGGAGACGTCTCTGAGGGGCAGCAGACAACAAGTGGAGGCAGGAAGAAAAGGACTCACCTCCAAAGGGAACGTGGAAAGAAGAGCCAGCATCAGACTTTGAGATGGACATGGGCATCAGGTCACCAGGGGATTTTGAGGCCACTGGCCTCAAGTGAAAGGTGGTATCACAGTTGTTGGGCTTTTAAGCAGTGGGTAGTGGTACGCCAGAAATTACACCCTTTGCAACTGTTTAAACATCTGTTGAAATACTGTAGATGTCGACTTCGAAATGCCCTTGTGTGTGTTGAGTGGTTGGAATAAAGAGCTTTTCAAAATCCTTTCAGGGGACCCCTTATAGAAAAAAAAAATTTTTTTTAAGATTTTATTTATTTATTTGACAGAGAGAGACACAGCAAGAGCAGGAACACAAGCAGGGGGAGTGGGAGAGGGAGGAGCAGGCTTCCCGCCAAGCAGGGAGCCTGATGTGAGACTCGATCCCAGGACCCTGGGATCATGACCTGAGCCGAAGGCAGACGCCCAACGACTGAGCCACCCAGGCGCCCCTCCTTATAGAAAAATTAACTCAAAGTTGACCATGGGCCTAAATGTACAATACCAAACTTTTAGAAGAAGACAGAAGAGAAAAATGTGTCTTAGCTTGGGCTTGGTGATGAGTTTTTAGATATAATATGGAAAGCATGGCCCATGAAAGAAAACATGAGAAATTGGACTGTATCAACATTTTAAATGTTTGCTCTGCAAATAACACTGTCAAAGAGAATGAGAAGACAAACCACAGGCTGGGGGGAAATCTTTGCAAAAGATATATCTGATAAAGGACTGGTATTCAAAATATACAAGGAACTCAGGGGCACCTGGGTGGCTCAGTCGGTGAAGCGTCTGCCTTCGGCTTAGGTCATGATCTCAGGGTCCTGGGATGGAGCCCCGTATCTTTCAGGCTCTGTGCTCAGTGGGCAGTCTGCTTGAGATTCTCTCTCTCCCTCTCCTTCTGCCCCTCCTCTCTCTCTCTCTCTCTCTCAAATAAATAAATAAATAAACCTTTAAAAAAAACTACAACAACCCTGTGGCCCATCCAGACGATGGAAGCGCTATGAAGCCATGAAGAAATGGATGACTTTTTTTTTTTAAGATTTTTTATTTATTTATTTGAGAGAGAGAGACACAGCGAGAGAGGGAACACAAGCAGGGGGAGAGGCAGAGGGAGAAGCAGGCTTCCCACTGAGGAGGGAGCCCGATGCGGGGCTCGATCCCAGGACCCGATCATGACCTGAGCTGAAGGCAGACGCTTAACGGCTGAGCCACCCAGGCGGCTCTGGATGACTCTTGAATACATACTGCAAACTGCTAAGTGAGAGAAGTCAGTCTGAAAACAGCTACATACTGCGTGATCCCCTTTATGTGACATTCCAGGAAAAGCCAGGCTATAGAGAGAATAAACAGATCAGTGGTTGCCCGCGGGATGGGGCGGGGGGTGACGTTTGACCAGGGGAAGCCCAGGAGATGTTTAGGGCCGTGAAGCAACTCTGTGCGGTGCTCTGATGGCGGAGACCCTGGATAAGTCATGACCCAGAGAAGTGTACAGAAGAAAGAGCAGAGCTTAACATCTGCAAGTTTCAAAATAATCCTTTAGGAAATGGGGGGATTTCAGGAAGGAGTGCAGACTATGACAAAAGAATCTAGGTGTATTACAAATGCATGAAAGCACTTCACTGAAGGGGACCGGGGGAAAGGGGTTGGAGTAAGTCACTCGGAAATGAGTGGGGTCTGAAAGACCAAAGGCAAAGGGAGCACTGCGCTCTAGTTGACAACGTTGTTCCCCACAAGGGTAAGAGTTAACAATTCTGAAACCACTCTACATGCACACTGGAATTAAACAATTAAGTAAATGGAAGGCAGATGCTGGGAGCCAGCTTTCTCACTGTTTGAGTGGGATGATACAGACAAGCGAGGGGAGGTGCTAGAATAATCCACGTGGTAATGGATCACAGTTGGAGACATCAGTTTGAACTGATGTTTACCTTAATATACAGATGCATATGTATATAAAAAATGCATATATAGAATGTATAATAGAGATGCACATACTGTATCTATCTATATGTATCAATCTGTTATAAATTACATTTAGGTATAATATAGAGATATGTTTATAGGTATGTGTTCGTGTACACATACATTTCCTTGCTCTGTCAGTGAAGAGAGCCTAGAAGCAGTAACACCCCAGTAACAGTGAGCACACTAGGGCCAAGACCATGGTTTTTAACAGCTTTCTCCTATAAAGGGCTCCTTGGAGAAATGGCTCAGTCTAGGGCTGGGACAGGAAATATACAGGATGAGCCTGGAGCAATTTATAATGCCGGAAGGTAAGGAAGGGAAGTGTGCTCCTTGTGCTCCCTCTCACGCGCTCTCTCTCTCTCTCTCTCTCTCTCTCTCTCTTCCTCTCTCTTGCTCACAGACACAAAGAGTGATGGGGGTATGACAAAGGAACACAGGAGCCAACTGAAAGAGCACCCGGTCGTCAAAGCTGGGACAATATGAGCAACATAATAAATAGAGTAGTACTGGGTTGTCGTCCAAAGTATAAAATAATAAATATCCACTATTATAAATAAATGATCGAATAAACAAATGGGGTGGGGGGAGAGACAAACTGTGCAGAAAATTCTAAATAATTGACTCTTCAAGTGTGTGCTGCACAGAGTGACTTCCTTCTAAAAAGGATGGATTGGAAAGGCAGAGACTCAATTTAAAGTGGAGACACTCCAAGAACGAGCGTGACCCCAGCCAGGTGACCGAGGTCGACGTGGACAGTGGTGAGTCATGTTGAGAGCATGGAGCCTTGCTAGGATGTGACGGGAAAGGATATCAGGGGTAAGCCGAGGAAATCTGAGTTAAGACTATGGACTTTGGTTAATCACAATGTGCAATACTGGTTGATTATTGTAACAGAGTGTGTGGTTGGGGCGCCAGGGTGCAGGAGCATCTGGCTCAGGAGTCCCAGAGAAACGAGTGGTGGTGAAACAGGAAAGAAGCTTATTTCAGGGAGGCCAACACCAGGAAGAGAGCAGACTAGCATCTCAAAGACTGTTTCCAAAATGCCAAAAATACTTCCAGGTTTATACAAGGAAAACGTGGGACAAAGGTGAGTGGGTACTGCTGGTGGGTAGTGAGGGTCAAACGGATCATATCCTTGGAGGAAATTCTGAGCGGGGCCTTGCTGGCTCAGGGCTGTCCCTCTGCTGCAGGGGGGAGTTTCGGTTCCCATCTGGGGATGCTTTGCCCTCAAGGTCTTCCGCCTGAGCCAAGAGACCGGCTG